ACGTGACATATTTTCATACAGGCATGCAATGTGTAGTGACCACATCAGTGTTGACATATACATATATCCATAAAACTGTCATCACAATTAAGACAGTGAACATCTTCATCACTCCCAACAGCTTCCTCTGTACAGTCAATTTTGGCCCCCTGCCTGTCACCAGCCACCATTGCTCTGCTTTCTGTCACTATATTTGAGTTTTTATTTTTTAGAGATTTTTATAAATGGAAATATGCAATATGTCCTTTTTTGTCTAACTTATTTTACTTAGCATAATGAGCATTAATTAGTTTGAGATTCATTCATGTTGTAGTATGTTCATTCCTTTGATCACTGAGTACTATTCCATCACATGGATGTATCACAGTTTGTCAGTCCATTCATGCAATTCACAGTTGGGTTGCTTACTCTTTCTGGCTATTACAAGTAAAGCTGCTGTAAACATTCACATACAAGTCTTGCTTGGAAATATACTTTCTTTTTTCAAAATTGAAATGGTTTGATTATGTGGTAGTTGTATGCTTAGCCTTTTACAAAACTCACAAACTGTTTTTTAAAGTTATTGTACCATTTTACACTCCCATTAGCAGTTCATGAGAGTCAAAATACTTCCACTTCCTTGCCAACACTTGGTATGATCAGTCTTTTAAATTTCAATCATTCTAATAAGTTTGTAGTGGTAGGCTACTATGGATTTAATTTGTTTATATGAGTATTAATTTTGAACACCTATCTTTTCATGGACTTATATGCCACCTGTATTTTTGTTCATAAATTGTTTATTCAAATCTTTCCTATTTTTTAAATCGAGTTATTTATTATTTAGTTTATAATTTTCCTGCATATACAGAATACAAAGTCTTTATCAGACATACGCTTTGTGAATATTCCTCTCAGTCTCTGGATTGTCTTTTCATTCTTCTAAACAAAGTAATCCAGGAGCAGAATTATAATTTTGATGATGTCTTGTTTATCTTTGTGTTTTTTTTTAATAGATCCTGCTTTTGATGTTGTAGCTAAGAAAGCTTTGCTAACTCACGAGTTGCAGAGATTTTTGCCTATATTTTTTTCCGTAAGTTTAATAGATTTAGGTCCTAAATTTAGGTCTATAATTCATTTTGTGATAATTTTTGTATGTGGTGTAGGCATATACTGAAGTTTATTATGATTACTTTTGCAATCAGAATGGGGACCTGTTGCTCCAGAAAAATTACTTATAAAGGCTATTCTTTCTCCATTGCATTACTTTTGTACCTTTGTCAAAAAGTAGTTGTATAAATATGTGGGTCTTTTTCTGGACTCTTCATTTTATCCCAGTGATCTATTCGTGTATCTTTATACCAATATTGACTATCTTGGTTATCATAGCTTTATAGCAAGGCTTAAATTCAGGTAGTATTAGAACTTAAACTTTTTTTTTTATATTTTTTTTTAGCTATTCTAGGTCATTTGCCTTTCCATATGAATTTTAAAATCTGCTTGTTGATTCCTCAAAATTCTGCTGGAATTTTAACTAGGGTTGAATTGAATCAATAGATGAATGAAGGGAGAACTAACTTTTAAATTATTTTCAGTGTTCTAGCTCGTGGTATATCACTCCATTTATTTTGTCTTCTTTGTTTTTTCTTAACAAAGCCTTGTAGTTTTCATTGTAAAAATTTTTCTCATCTTTTGTCACATTTATCCCTATGAATTTAATACTTTTAATGCTTTTATAAATGGTTTGGTTCTTAAAAATTTCAATCTTCAGTAATTTTCCATATAAATGTATATATAAATATATATTTCATTTTGATATATTCATCTTGTATCCTGCAAACTTGCTAAATTTTCTTTTTAGTTTTTTATAGATTTCATCAGATTGTCTGTGAATCATGTTACCTGTGAATAAAGATGGTTCAATTGTTTTGTATGTCTTTTATTTACTTTATTCATTGTTATTATACTGGCTATAACCTCTAGTACGAAATGGAATAGAAATGATGAAAGGTAACATCTTTGGCTTTTCCTTGATCCTGGAAGAGGAGCATTTAATCTTTGGCAATTGAGTATAACGTTAGCTATGGGTTTTCATAGATACCTCTAACTGGGTTAAGGAAGTTTTCTTTTATTTCTAGTTTGGCAAAAGTTTTTAATCAGGAATAGTTGTCAGATTTGTCAAATATTTTTCTGCATCTATTGAGATGATTTTTCTTTTTAATTTTTTGAATTTAGTTTTTCTTTTAAGTTTTAGTCATATAGTAAATTGCATTGATTGTTTTAAATGTTAAATTAACCTTGCATAACTGAGATGACCTCCACTTGATCAAGATATATTGCCTTTTTATCTGTTACTGGATTTAATTTGTTAACATTTTCTTTAATGTTTTGTATCAGTTTTTATGAAGGACAGTGGTCTTTAGTAGCGTTTTCTTAATTTGTTTTTGTCTTCTATTGAGAGGTGATCATAACCTCATAGAATGAGTTCAGAAATATTCTCTTATTTTCAATTTTCTGGAAGAGTTTGTGTTGGATGGGTATTATTTCTCACTTAAATGGTTGGTAGAATTCACTAATGAAGCCATCTAGGCTTTTGGGGTTCTTTATTAGAACATATTTAATTACAAATTCAATTTTTAAAAAATGGGTTAGGGCTATTCAAGTTGTTCAATTCATTATCATAAGGGTTTTTAAAAAACTGTTCTATTATTATTATTCTGTTCTATTATTATTCTCTTAATTTGTATAGAATCTGTGGTAAAAGCACCATTCTCATAGTTGATATTACTAATTTGTGGCTTTTTTTCTTGATCACTCTGCCTAGAGGCTTATCAATCTTGTTATTGATCTTCTCAAACAACCAGCCTTTGATTTCATTCATTTTTCTCTAATGTTTTTATTTTTATTTCCTTAATTTCCACTCTTCTTTCTTTATTCTACTTAGTTTTGGTTTAATTGATTCATCTAATTGCTTTACATGGAAGTTGAGTTTATCAATTTAAGACTATTTTCTTTTCTAATGTAGGAGTTTAGTGGTATACATTTTCCCCTAAATACTTTTTTTTAGAGGCATCCCACAAATACTCAAATGTTGTACTTTCATTTTCATTCAGTCCAAAGTACTTTCTATGTTTCCTTTTGATTTCTTTTTTCATCTATGAGTTGTTTAGGAGTGATATTTTTCAAATATTTGGGATTTTCAAGACATGTTTCTGTTATTGATTTCCAGTTTAATTTCATTTTAATCACTGAACATTCTTGGTGTGCCTTTAATCCTGTCAAGTTTATTGGGACTTGTTTTATGGCCTGGAATATGATCTATCTTGATAAATGCTCCATATGCACTGGAGAAGAATAGATATTATTGTTGTCTTTGGGTGGCATTTTTTTTATAAACAGCAATTACATCAAGTCGTTTAATAGTGTTCAAATCTTCTGAATCCTTACTGCTATTTTGTCTTGAGCAGCATTGAAATCTCTTGACTCTAATTGTACATCTATTCCTTCTTAGATTTTTATTAGTTTTTGTTTCATGTGTTGTGAAGCTCTGTTGTAATATTCACAAACATTTAAGAATTAATTATATATTTTTGACTGATACTTTTATCATCATGAAATAATAATTATGTTATCCGCTGAAATCTACTTTGTCTGATAGCTTTCTTTTGATTCGTGTTAGGGTGGTATGCCTTTTCCATCCTTTTACTTGTAACTTGTTTATGTCCTTATGTTTCAAGTGTATTTCTTACATGTAGCATACAATTGGATCTTGTTTTATTCAGTCTTTCAAATTTTGCATCTTTTGAGCATGTGAATTATATATTAGGTTGGTGCAAAAGAAATTGCTTTTAAATAAATTTGACATACTTTTAAAGGCAAAAACTGCAATTACTTTTGCATCAACCTAATAGTATGAACTAAAAACATAAACCATTTTATGTGATTAATGTTCCTTTCTGCTAGGTCTACCATTGCTGTCATTTTTGATTGATTAGTTATTCTCTTCATTATGGGTCATATTTATCTGCCTCTTTATATGTCTGGTAGTTTTTTATTGGATTCCAAATATTACAAATTTCAACCTTGTTTTGTGCTAATTATTTTTGCATGCTTATAAATAATCTTTAAACAAATTGCTTGAAGTAACTTGATTCTTTAAGATCTTGTTTTTAAGATTTGTTAGGCAGGACTGGCAAAATGCTTAGTCTGATTGTAAATACTTCCCACTCCTGAAGTAAGACCTCTTTTTTTGTACTGTACTCAATGACTAATGAATTATGGCTTATTTCAATCTGACTGATGGAAACAGAGTATATACCTGGTCCTGACCACCAGACACTTACCAGGCACCCCTACCACACTGGGCTAATTTTTGTATTTTTTGTAGAGATGGGGTTTCACCATGTTGGCCAGGCTAGTCTCGAACTTCTGGCCTCAGGTGATCCACCTTCCTTGGCCTCCCAAAGTGCTGGGATTACAGGCGTGAGCTACCGTGCCCAGCCACTTTTAATTCTTTTGGGTAGGTTTTTCCCTGGTCTCAGTCGTTTCCTCAAATGCATGTGTTGATTATTACTCATCTGCATAGTAGAGAGAAACACACTGTTAATTTCCTTGTCTTGTGCAGCCTTCTCTGGTACTCCATCCTGTGATTTCTAGCTGTCTTTCAGAGTTTAAGCTTTTTCCCATCTTAGCATTTCTACTGGGCTCTGGCTCAGTTTCTCCTTCTTGTGCCATGGCCTGGACTCTGTCTTAAACCTGTGAGCAGGGATAATCATGGGTCTCGCCCCATTGTTTACTATCTTTCACGGTTCAGTGTCTTACATTGCTCAGTAGTCAGTGATTGGTTCATCTTGTCAGGAAGCACAAGTCAAATTGGAAAGATTCCCAATCGTCCTTTCTTTTTCTTTTCTTTTCCCACATTTTCGATTGTATTAGGTGAACTACTTTAGCATTTTTCACTTTATTAGATTTGTGTGTTATACCCAGCTTATAATTAATGCAGGAAATGTCTTTCTATTTAGCTCTTTCTGAGGAATCTCCTTGTTACGAAGAAAACATGGATTGGAAAATCATCAGTGATAATTATTTTCAATTTTTGAATAACTTATTCAATTCTCCAATAACTTCCATATCTAGGTAAGTTATCAGAATTTAACTTCCAGGTCTTGATTTAATTATCATCTGAAGATAATCAAAACCTAATTACAGAATGTGCACTCTTTAAAATTTACGAGTCTGATTTAGGTATTGACACAATCTTTCATATGAGTTGTTCAATAAATATTTCTTTAATAGAATGTGAGTCAAGTTTCAAGATGTTTAATAGAATGTATGACTCAATGGATTTTGAAAGGAAATACAGATTGTAGTAAGAAGGTTTTCTTTCAATAATAACATGATTTATAATAGATGCTCCAAAAGTAAAGTATTTGTTTTTGAAAAATTGTCTTATCTAGTTGCCTAGAGTTTAGACAGGAAATCAATACTATAGATTCTGGTATTTTCCGAGACTCTTGGGAGAGAGAAGTGGTCTTTGGAACTAAATTTTGCTGACTATTTTCTACTCTCCTATTTCAGTCCACATATCGAAATGCAGATTTTTATGTATGGTTATGAATAGTGTGTTTAGTTTAAAGGTACACTCTATTATTTGTGTGGTGTGTTAGAAGATGATGGGAGACTACAGCACTAACTGTCAAACTTGAGCATGGATTAAATCTGTGAAGACTGCTAAAAATTTTAATGCCTGCACCTTGCCCCAGACATGAACTCCTACTCTGTGTAAAGGACTCAGGTTTCTATATATTTCACACATTCTATAGGTGGTTTTGGTGGATACCAAAGTTTGAGAACCATTCTTCTATATCTGTCTAAAATGGAGATTAGTCATTCATACGGGACTTCTTAAGCTCAACTATTAGTAGGAACAAGGAAAGGACAATGGGATGGACCCTCTGGAGAATCAGTTCCTTGCCTATATCAGATGTTGAATTCTTTTCTAAAAGCCTCAAAAACTTAATAGCCCTGGAAAAACAGCACAAAACTAGTCTGTATGTGCACAAGAACACATTTAATTTCTTATTTGTAGACCCATAGCAGTTGGCAGTGTCTTTCATGATAGACATTAGATAATTAGATGTTGATTTAATGAATGAAATATTCTTGAACATTAAGTGCAATTTATATTAAGAAAGCTGAACCTGAAATGAGAAAACCTGGGTCTTGTGCTAGTCATGCCACATAATAACAGCTGAATCTGCCAATGGAAAAAATAAAGTTTCTTTTTTCATCAAATGAAAATAATGATGTATACTCAAAAGGCTGTTGTAGGAATTAGCCAAGATTGTGGTTGTGAAAGTGCTTTATAAACTGTAAAGTAATATTAAAATATGCAGCAATAATACTATTAGTAGTACTACTGTTATTTCCATTTGTTATTCTATTGCTACTCCATAACCTCTCAGTTCCCCATACAAATAAAGATAGTTTTATATTCCTCTCTATCAAGGCACAATGACTTGTATAGCAATTACGCATTTCTTTCCAAGAAGGGCTTAATTTAGGCAAGGTTTATGCTGAATTCTTAATAAAACTGTCCCTCTGGGATTTTTTCCCCCAGGAATTATTTCTAGCAGCCATTCTGTCCTGAAAGTAACGACTAACTAAATTAAGCCTATATTTTTGTGTGGTGTGCTCAGGTCTCAGCTCTCAGAGAGGAAAACAGCATTCTTGCCTTTGATAGGTCTTGTCTGCTGTATGTCAGAGAATGTGTTATACAACAGGAGCACAGGGTTAAAAAACTTAGGAAGTAATTTACTCTTTAAGGCATTAATAGCCAGTAAAGGTAAAAAATTTTTTACCCACAATTCTGAATTCTTACAAAGTCTGAAAATAGATGCTTTTTTTTGTGGTTGACATCAGAACTCGTTCAGCAGAGATTTAGCATGAACTGATGTGAAGCAGTTTCAAATGTATTATCCTACACTATGAGATCATTCACAGGTATCACTCCTGAAGTGTTAATATGTTGATGATCAGGGCTGCCCAGCCCTTACTGAGATGCATGAGTAGATATCTGATATCTGTAGCATGCTATGTTTTTAAAGGATGAACGTCCTGAATTTCGAAACACGTATAACCCCAAGAATGTCAAAAGTGGACTTGTAACTTCTGAGTTAGTAGAAGTTAGTTCTGCAAGTGTGGATTTCTATTACAATAGGGGACTTAAGTGTCTGAGTTGCTCTTCTGAGAACTCTGTATTTTAAAATTAAACACCTGGAGATAAATTACCCCATATATAATAATGAGTTTATAACAGTAGGATGTATATAGTAATGTTGAAAGAACACTGGAATTGCCTTCCAGGAAAGGGAATCCCACACCTTCCTTAAGCCATACAGGCATGGTTTCTAATGCATTCCACTATTTGTGCTGCCTTTATAGGCCAAGACATTTTGAGATGGAATTAAATCCTAAGATTCTTCTGTCATAAACAGCACATTTATCTTTAATAATCATACATATTATTGTTACATATGCCAGGGGAAAATAATTGAGAATGAATTCTTTTTGGTGGTAGGAAATATTTTAAGCTAAATGTATACAGCTTCATTGTGGATTTTTAAAACATTTTCAAATGCTCACATTAGTTTAATTTCTGTTGGGAAACATACTGTCTATTAAATGTTTCATTTATGTTTTACTATCAATAAATGAGTATTAACTTGGAAACCTGATAAATCGAATTTATTTTTCTATCTAATATTAAAATAATTCTATTAATATTACAGGGCTTTAAATTTCACAAAGCAACTTCTAATGATGGAAAAGAAGTTGCACACCCTTGAGGATGAACAAATGAACTTTCTTTTATCATTTGTGGAATTTTTTGAGAAATTATTGTTGCCTCATCTTTTTGACTCCTCCATCGTTCCCAATTTCCATAACCTCCCATCTCTCACAGAAGATATTCTGAATATAAGCTATTTGTGGACAAATCATTTAAAAAGTGTAGAGAGAGACCCACCTGCCAATGATGCTCAGAAACTCTTGGAATTTGGCAAAGAAGTGATTGGGAAAATGCAAACTCTCGGAAGTCACTGGATAAGGAAGGAACCAAAAAATCTTTTAAGATTTATGGAATTAATACTTTCTGAAATTGATCCCAAATTACTAGAATTATGGCTCTATGGCATTTCAAAAGAAAAAAGAGATACATTGGAAAACTTGTTTACACTTTTAAATTTTTCTGTCCCAGAAAATGAGATTCTGACTACAAGTTTTAACTTTTCCCAGTTGTTTCATTCAGATTGGCCTCAATCACCAGCTGTGAACATAGATTTTGTATTTTTAAGTGAGACTATAATAAATAGTCTCTCTGAATTTGGATTTTTGGAGCATGAACAGGTCTCAGAAGCTTTGAACACAGTCTATGCTATGAAAAATGCATCTGATCTTTTCTCAGCCCTTTCTGAACCTCAAAAACAAGAAGTTGATAAAATGTTGACTCACGTATACCTAAATGTCTTCAAGGACAAGGATTCAGCTTTACTTCTGCAAATTTATTCTTCATTTTACGAATATATTCATGAATTCTCGAATATTCAGAGTAGAGGTTCTTTGCTAAATTTCCTCACACAAATCTCAAAACACATTTTGGATATCATAAAACAATTTAATTTTCAAAACATCAGTAAAGCATTTACATTTTTATTTAAGACAGTAGAGGTTCTTGAGGGAATTTCTAATGCATCTTATTGTCAGCAATTCCTTTCAATTTTCAACTTTTTGGAGCTTCAAGCCCAATCCTTCATGTCTACAGAGGGCCAAGAACTTGAAGTGATCCACACTACTTTGACAGGCCTCAAACAGCTGTTCATAACTGATGAAGATTTTCGTATTTCTTTATTTCAATATGTGGGCCAATTCTTCAACAGTTCAGTAGAAGCCCTATTGGATAATGAATGCTTCATTTCGGACAATAAACACGTTTCTTCCGTGAATTATTCAAGAAGTGAAGAGTCTTCATTTGTTCTTCCATTGGCACAACTTTTTTCAAACCTCTCAGCAAATGTCAGTGCATTCAACAAGTTTGTATCCATTCACTGTACCGTTTCATGGCTTCAAATGTGGACTGAAGTCTGGGAAAGCATATCTCAGTTATTTAAGTTTGACATGAATGTTTTCACATCTCTTCATGATTGTGTCACTCTACTTTTGGATGAATTGGAAAATGTTGTGAAAATCTCTAAAAGCTGTCAGGGAATATTTCCCATCCATAATGTTGCTAGACTCATACTAAATTTGTTTAAAAATGTAACTCAAGCCAATGACTTCCATGATTGGAAGGACTTCCTGGATCTCAGGGATTTTTTGGTAGCTTTAGGCAATGCATTAGTTTCAGTAAAAAAACTTAACTTGGAGCAAGTGGAGAAATCCCTTTTTACCGTGGAAACTGCCCTGCATCAGTTAAAGACATTTCCATTAAACACAAGTAGAAGCAGAGAGTTTTTTAATTCTCTGCTCGAAGTTTTCATTGAACTTAGCAATATCTCAGAATATATAGATAGAAATGCAGGTTGGATAAATCATTTTCTTTCAAATAATCTCACAAATTATGAAGAAAAATTAGAAAATATCATCACTGAGATAAGGGAAGCAATATTATTTCTTAGAAATGTATCACATGATCGAGGTTTGTTTTCCTGTGCTGACATTTTCCAAAATGTTACTGAGTTTATTTTAGAAGATGGCTCTTTATACGCAAATACCTCACAGAGAATGTTACGTATTCTGGCCATGTTAAACTCCACATTTTCCTCTGAGAACACAGTTAGCAGGCTGAAAGGATGCATTGTGTGGATAGATGTCATAAAACATTTGTATTTGGTGTCTAACACAAGTTTTTCACAAGGCTATCTTCAAAATACTTTGGAGAATTTCAGAGATATGGAAAACAAAATGAACTCTATATTGAAAATTTTAAGTTGGGTGTTAAATATAAAAAAATCTCTTTGTTCATCAAATGACTCAAACATAAATTGTGTAAACATTTACTTAAAAGATGTAACTGACTTTCTAAATATTGTACTTACCACAGTCTTTAAAAAAGAGAAGATACCTGAATTTGAGATTTTATTAGCTCTTTTAAATGATTCCACAAAGCAAGTAAGGATGAGTATCAACAACCTAACAACGGACTTTGATTTTGCACCTCAATCTAATTGGAAATATTTTAATGAATTAATTCTAAGACCAATAGAAATGTCAGATGAAATTCCTAACCAGTTTCAAAATATTTGGCTGCATTTAGTAACACTGGGGACAGAATTTCAGAAGCTTGTAAAAGGTATTTACTCTAACATTCTGGAAAACAATTCCTCTTCTAAAACTGAAAACTTGTTAAACATATTTGCTATCAGTCCAAAAGAAAAAGATGTAAACAGAGTAGGCAATTCTATTTATCACTTAGCTAGTTACCTTGCCTTCAACTTATCTCATGAGCTCCAAAATTCACCAAAAATAATTTCACCTGAAATAATGAGAGCTATGGGTCTTGGTATTCAACTGATGAGGGATGTGTTCAACTCCTTAATGCCTGCAGTTCGTCACACTAGTCCACAAAATACAGGTTATATGCAAGTTTTGAAGAAGGTAACTTTTGTCATGCGTACTCTTAAGAAGGCGGACATAGACCGTTTAGTGGATCAGCTTCAACGAGTTAGTGCGAGCCTAATAGATTTCTTTAAGAATGTCAGTAGTGTGGGAACTGGCGATTTAGGGGTCAACTTGCTTGTTGGTTTGATAGAAAAATTTATAGACAGCTCACATTCTTGGAATGTTAATCACCTGCTGCAGCTCTCGCGCCTGCTTCCTAAAGATGATGTAGATGCTGTGGTAAATGTGTACTACATGCTTCCTCAGGCTGTAAAGCTCCTGCAGGGAGTACTTAGTAAAAACATCACTGAAGGCCTCAAGGATGTCTACAGCTTCACACTCCTTCATGGCATAACCATTTCAAACATCACCAAGGAAGACTTTGCAATTGTGATAAAAATTCTTTTGAATATTATTGAATTAATATCAGATAAACCAGATATTATTTCAGAGGCTTTAACTTGTTTTCCTGTGGTTTGGTGCTGGAATCATACCAATTCTGGATTTCAGCAGAATTCAAAGGTAGACCCCTGCAATGTCCATGGGCTCATGTCTTCTTCCTTTTATGACAGAGTGGCTAGTATACTTGATCATCTCCACCTCTCTCCCCAAGGTGACAATTCACCGTGTTCAAACGAAAGCTCCCAAATGGAAGTAACTAGGAAAGTGATCTGTGTAATTCATGAATTAGTGGACTGGAATTCTTTTCTGCTGGAGCTCTCTGAAATCTTCCATGCTGACATTTCTCTTGTGAAAACTGTGCAGAAATTTTGGCATAAGATATTACCATTTGTCCCACTTTCAGTAAATCAAACTATGGAAAACATCTCTGAACTTTGTCCTGGTGGTTCCATAAAGCAAGTTGCTTTGCAAATCATAGAAAAACTTAAAAATGTCAACTTTACCAAAGTTACATCAGGTGAAAATATTCTTGACAAACTAGCTAGTTTAGACAAGATCCTTAACATTAATGAAGACACAGAGACATCTCTTCAGAATATTATTTCCTCAAATTTGGAAAGGACAATACAATTGATTTCTGAAGATTGGAGCCTAGAAAAAAGTACTCATGATCTACTCTCTTCATTAATGATGTTTCTGAATGCAAATCTCACAGGTAGCAGCTTAGAAGCATTATCAACTTTTATTGAAAAAAGTGAAACAACTTACAACTTTGAAGAACTATGGCCCGAGTTTCAACAAACCATGAAAGATCTAACCCAAGATTTTAGAGTCAGACACCTGATTTCTGAAATGAACAAAGAAATCAAAAGTATAAATTCAGTGGTTGTTCAAAACATAACTTTGCAACTTGCCCATTTCCTGGAAATTTTGGATTCACCGTCATTGAAGACATTAGAAATTATTGAAGATTTTCTATTGGTCACAAAAAACTGGCTTCAGGAATATGGAAATGAGGATTACTCCAGAATGATAGAAACATTATTCATTTCTATAACCAATGAGAGTTCAATTAAAGATATAGCTTTGCTAACCAAAGCTATTACTACTTTTTTGGGCTCTTTAAAAAATATTTCTAGAGAAGGCAGTTTTGATGTTGCCTTTCTTACTCATCTGTTAAACCAAGAACAAGTGACTAATTTCTCTGTTGTTCAGTTGCTTTTTGAAAACATAGTAATTAGTTCAGTCAATAGTATAGCTGGGAACTCTCAAGAAGCAGCTTGGAACTTAAGTGATACTGACCTTCAGATAATGAATTTCATTAACCTTATCTTGAACCATATGCAATCAGAAACAAGTAGGAAAACAGTTCTCCCTCTGAGAAGCATAGTAGATTTCATGAAACAGCTTTTGAAAACATTCTTCTCCCTTTTGCTAAAGAAAGATTCTGAGAATAAAATATCCTTTCTGCTGAAAGATTTCCACAAAGATGTTATTGCCGAGATGAGGTAAGTCTGCTTTTGCTTTGTGTAGTATATGCAGTCTCTCAAACTACTTTATTTTCTGTAATATAGACATGTTAATAGCAGTATTTGTATCTAATACCTTTGAAAGATCTTTGGTGAGTCTTAATATTTTATCGAAATGTCAAGGTTAAATAATTTTGATTACTGTCATCTAACTAGTAAACTTACAAACCCAGCCTATGGTAATTAATCACATATTATTATTCTTACATTTTTAGATTATGAAAACACTTATGAATCCTATTTTACATGGATCTGAAAAATTAGTTTTCATACCTGTACATGTATATACAGCATTGCCATAATTTGAATTGCTAAACTATCACCAACTAGGGGCTTATGTATTCTCAACTCAATGAATCTACTGTGATTTTGCATTTAGAGACATAAAAATGGATAGTCACATTATCTTTTTTTCATATATCTTTAAAAATATCATTTAAAGTTTGCCAGTGAAAAGGCTGGAGGGAAATTCCAATTATTCTGTGATGTCTGCTTCAGTCAAGCTTCAATCAGAGTAACAACAACCATCAAAGAATTTATTTTATTTTATTTTTGAGATGGAGTTTCACTGTTGTTACCCAGACTGGAGTGCAATGGCACAATCTCGGCTCACTGCAACCTCCGTCTTCTGGGTTCAAGCAATTCTCCTGCCTCAGCCTCCCGAGTAGCTGGGACTACAGGCATGTGCCACCATGCCCAGCTAATTTTTGTATTTTTTTAGTAGAGACGGGGTTTCACCATGTTGACCGGGATGGTCTCGATCTCTTGACCTTGTGATCCACCCACCTCGGCCTCCCAAAGTGCTGGGATTATAGGCGTGAGCCACCGCGCCCGGCCTCCATCAAAGAATTTAATCCAAGGAGATCAGCTTACACAGTTTTGGGGCTGACTAAACAAGCCTGCAATCAGTAGGGCCGACTGCCAGGAAGGGAGGGCCACAGTAGGCAGGGGGCACTGTGGGCATGAGTGGAAGCCCCTTGTCCTCAGGTGGTCAGGAAGGAAGAACAGGGGAAGGGAGAGACACTGACTATTAATATCCAACTGTAGTTTTGTGCCTCTAAGTTAGAGAGGTCCTATGCCCTCTTTTAGAGTTTTCCTGGCCCACTCAGAACGATATCCCTTCTGACTAATTTAAAATTAACTGATCAGGGACTATAACTCCATCTGTAAAATCTCTTTCTAGCAACACCTAGATTAGTGTTCGATTGAGTAGCTGGGAGAAGATGTATTTATATTACAAAATGACTATAACTACCACCTATCCTCCATCTCTCATGAGGGAATCTCCCCTGTAGCCCACCCAGATGAGAAACTTACAAGAAAGGGACTTTGAAGGCTGTTATTCAGCCTAGTTATGTTGATACATTGGTCTAAGTAACTTCCTGGTACTCCTAAAGCTCAGAAAAATATAAATATGCTAACCATTTTTCAGACTTATTTCTTACATCAAGAATCACTTTCTAGTCATTTTACCTTTTTTTCTAAGTAAAAGACATGTAACCTTTTTGTAAGCAAAGGAATGTGCCTTTTTAAGTTGCCACATTCAAAAAACTGTAATAGAATTTGTTCATGAAATTCCTCACCCTTTTCATTATTTAGGAACAAAATACTGAGTTTCATCTGAAATTATTTTAGCATGTCATCTTTGCTCAGTATTATCCTCTCTTATGATGCTATTATAAAATAAATTATAAAAATCACTATATACTTTAATATTTCCACTATTGATATATTAAACAGAAAATTAAAAGTATATATGTGTATATATATATTTACAGTTTTGTCCCCAAAGATAAAATTCTAGAAATTCTGAAACTGGATCAATTTCTTACCCTGATGAAAGAAGACAGATTGATGAACATTTTTTCAAGTTTGAAGGAGACTATATATCACCTAATAAAAAGTTCATTTATATTAAACAATCAAGAATTTTATTTTGATAGTCATCAAGGACTGAAGTTTATGCAAGATTTATTTAATACCCTTCTCAGGGAAACTTCAATTAAAAATAAGATTGAAAATAATATAGACTTTTTCACAGTGGTGAGTCAGTTGTTTTTCCATGTGAATAAGTCTGAGGACCTGTTCAAACTCAATGAAGATCTTAGGTCAGCTCTTCACCTTATAAGAGAATGTTCAACAGAGATGGCAAGACTTCTGGATACAATTCTAAACTCTCCTAATAAGGACTTGTATGCATTTTATCCCGCCCTCCAAGAAGTTATACTTGCTAATCTAACTCATTTGCTTTTCTTTATAAATAATTCATTCCCTTTAAGAAACAGAGCAACATTAGAAATTGCTACGAGATTACTTGGTGCTATTTCAAGAGTTGATGAAGAAAGTCGTGTCCCAGAACCCCTCTTAGAAATGTCTGGGACTCTGGTCATGCTGCTGAATGACAGTGCTGACCTGAGAGATCATGCCACATCAGTTGACTCCATTGTGAAACTTCTTAAGCTGGCCAGGAAAGTTTCGGGGATGATGGCCACAGTTTTTAAAACTCATTTTATCTCCAATACCACGGACACCGTGACCTTCTTTGACACTCTCTATGTCATCATGCAACAAAGTGTTCAACATCTTGTGAAAGAAGTAGCTACTTTGAAAAAAATTGATCATTTCACATTTGAAAAGATAAATGATTTGTTGGCACCATTTCCTGATTTGGCCTTTGAAATGATTGGAGTCAAACGTAATGTATCACCAAACTCTGATATTTTCAGTATGTCACCTAGCATACTCTCATATATGAACAAATCTAAGGACTTTTCTGATATTTTGGAAGAAATTGCTGAATTTTTAACAACTGTGAAAGTCAACTTGGAAGATGTGAAGAGTCTTGTGGTAGCATTTAACAATGAGACTCAAACATTTTCTTTGGATTCTATCAATTTAATAGAAGAAATTCTGGGTTGCTTAGTTCCTATAAATAACTTCACCAACCAAATGGACTTCTTATACTCTAATCCAATTTCCACTCATAGTGGCCTTCAAGATATGAAATGGGAAATAATTCATGAAGTGATCCCTTTTTTGGATGAATTACTATCACAAAACAGCATAGAAATAGGGTCTTGCTTGAAAACGGTGATCAGTCTCACCTTAGAAGCTCTTTGGAAAAACTTAAAGAAGGATAATCGGAGCATTTCTGATCTGTTGATGACATTTACTCAGCATCCAAATAACCTTTTGAAAACCATAGAAACAGTATTAGAGGCCTCCAGTGGAATTAAAAGTGACTGTGAAGGTGATTTGAGTAAAAGTTTATATTTTGGCAAACCTTTGATTCAGAATATAACTCGTCATCAACTTGCAAAAGCAATCCATAATGTTTTAAGTAGAATAGGTCTCTGGAGAAGAGGGCTTCTGTTTAACAACTCTGAATGGACAACTTCCGCAAGAACTTTGTTTCAGCCACTTTTTGAGATTTTTATTAAAGCAACCACCGGAAAGAATGTCACAGCAGAAAAAGAAGAGAGAACCAAGAAAAAGATGATTGACTTTCCTTATAGTTTCAAACCACTTTCCTGTTTTGAGAAATACCCGAGAGGATTATTTGTATTGACTAAATACTGGCAGCAAATCCCACTGACAGATCAAAGGTAATAAAAAGCCTAATTCACTTTGTTTTTTTTTTCCCTACTGCAGTAACTATAAAGTAGAACCATGCAGGAATTGCACTGAACAAGGGTAAGTAGTTCTTGACTTCAACTTTCTTTACATTCTTAAGTTGGCTTCAACATAGAGCAATTCAGGTCCAGTCATTCTTATTTGACTCATTATTTGACATTCGAATATAATTAGAATTTATTCAAAAATATTTCAGAAGTAAGTTATTTTATTCTCAGAAGTAACAACCTCAATTCTATTCACTTGTCCCAAGACTAGCTGCATAAACAATTTTTCTATTCATTTCCTCTGGCAGCCAGATGTCCTACGATTAAGTGTATATGCAGGAACATGAAGCTGCTTGCTTCACAGAATATTATGCTTCCAGTTGTAGCTAACCACAGGAAAGGGCCAGGCAGCTGCTGGCTTCTACCCTCTTTCCATTCTGCTAAACCTCACATGGTAGATCTAACTTCAAGCCGGGGGTGGATCTAATCAGAGCAAGAGGAAAGGAGAAAAGTGAGAGATCATCTGAGTGGGGCTTACCTCCAGATCCTGTGTGAGCTCCACTAGGGCTGGCCCTGGACTCCCCGCCCCTTGGCTCATCGGATCCACATGTTCAATCCTGTTTTACTCTTGGATTATTTTTATTGAGATTACTAGCAAATTGTTATATTATGATTGTAGATTAAGTGTTATTTCCTCTGGAAAGTTTTCCTTGACCTATTCTGTCTGGGCTCACATGGCCTTAGCCCCCTGTAATGGCTCTTACCACTGTGTGCTGTCCTGATGATGAACATGTGACTATTCTACATTCATGAGGACCTGAAGACTGTGCCTGTATATTGTGGGACTGTGCCCTCCCATCCCTGAATGTTGTCAATGGAAACCTGTTCTTAAAATCTCCAGTCTTGCTAGCCATCATGCCCTGGAAGCAGTCTATTGCCTTAAGTTGGAGACCCTGTGCTTCTTGGTGTGCAGAGTCCTTGAGATGCTGCAACTGTCCCTACCTAGCCTTTCTGTGGGTGACAGTACTGTTAGGGTGGTCCCTGGTCTCTGTTTCTCCCTGCCTCCCTCTCAGTGTCACATGGAGCTTGGAGATGCCATGTCAACCTGGTTCCTTTGCCAGGCAAGCTGACTTATTTTCCATTGGTTCTGTTACTACAGAGCCATGTCTTGAATCCAGTCATGTTTTATGAGTTGGAAGATGTCTTTACTTGGTGAAACAGGTAGCTGCTGGCACAAATAACTATTGCTACCTTGGAATTTGACTGCTGGTTTTCAGAGCATCCTGCCTCATCTCCTCCTTGCTTCTGATCCCAAACTATATTCTGTTTGACTTTAGTGCTCTGATCCCCAGCTATACCGTGCTTGACTTTAGCTCTCTGCTCTGAATTTTCTTTTGAGCTGCCTGGCAACCCCATTCTCCACCAATTTCAGATTTTATTTGAAAATTTTCAGTTATCCACAGAGAAAGTTTACACCTTAGCTCTGCATATTGTCATATTTTGACACCCTTTCAACATTTACCTTTGCATTTCAAAAGAATGGATCAAAATAAGAAAGAAAAGCAAATGTTAAGCTTACTGGCCACAAAATTGATGCTTTGAACTAATTCAGGAGACTTAAAGTTCTCTGAAGGTCCAGACTGTGTTATCTGTGTTTTTTTTATGTTCCTATGAAGAAAATATGATTATGCAGAGAAGATGGTTCTTATATGTGTGTTATGACTCAGCCTACACAGTATAAATGCACATGGATTGTACATTTTTACCCTTTCATGCTATTGTGCATTTTTTTCTAAGTGTTGTTGAGATGTGTGAAGTTTTCCAGCAGTCTGTGAAGCCCTCAGAAGCCATGGAGATGCTGCAGAAAGTGAAGATGATGGTCCTGCGTGTGCTCACCATTGTTGCAGGTGGGCTGCTCATATAACAAGTGCTCCACAGGAGCCCTTCTATACTTATGTCATGGTTCATGGGAATTCCTAAATGTGAAATCTATTCGTGTGGGAGTGCTCAGCAGTGAGAGGTACTGGGTGGGCTGTCGGCATGCTCTGGGAAAACCTTGAGAGCCTGGGGAAGATGTTGTAGAGAGAAGACTCTGGTTTACCAAGGAGGAGGCACATTGGACGTACTCCCAAGATCCACTGTCAGAGAGGAAGGGGCACTGACCCTGGGATGGTTAACTGGTGGGTGTGGGCCACTGAGTCTGTGAGCCAGGACTATGGACCAGCATCTATTGGGGAGAGAAATGGAGGAGAAGTGAGCCTTGGGCAGAACTAGCATGTCAAATCCATTTTTCAAAAGCAACTCTAAGAAGATAAATTCTGATACTGGTAAGTGCTAGAGAGAAGCTAAAGTATTGCCAGGAGGGTGAGAGTGAGAGGTGGAGGAGAGGAGAAGACCTTGGGGGTGCAACTCTGGGTGGGGACATTTCAGGTGAGACTTGCATGGTGAGGATGTGTGTCTGCCATGTTTACTGTTTATCTCCGCAGGGTTTAGAAAACATCCTCACATAGACATGATAGGTATTCAATCAATATGTATAGAATGATTGGATAGGTCAATGCATGAGGGCTGGCACCGGGTTGGGTACTTGTCACTGCTTGAGTCCTACACAACCACTGATGGGCTTCAGGCTAGTATGCTGGGGATCGTGGTCTGCAGGCTGTCTCCTTGCTGTCATGACGGGCCACTTAGGGTTATGCACAGTCATGTCTGGTAAGGCTTTATTGCCCCAAATGTCTTCAAGGGCAGGGTCAAAGATGACTGTTACCACAAGTGATGTTGTGAGACGTGGTGTAATCGAAGAAGCAGGCACTTTGATATTGAACAGGCTGAGTTTCTCTATTCACACTGAGTGACGGGGTAATTACTGAATCTCTGTGAGCCTTGAACAAAAAATGGGATAACCCCTATTTTAACCTATTTGAGAGGATTAAATAAAATGAGTCACTTCCATGGGGACTTGCCCTTAGGAGACTCCTTGCACATGCCAGTTTCCCAGTCCTGCAAGTTGAAGATGCATCTCCCTACACGCCACTGGGAAAACTACTTCTCAGCTTACAAAGCTAGTGTATAAGTGAAAATTGGTAATTTGGGAACTGTCTATCACAGGGTTAGCTCTAATCTGTTCACTCACCTCCTTTTTGTAAGACAAATCATTATTTGAACCAAAGAATTGATTGGTCATTTGGCCTAAGAAACATAGAAAAGGAGTAAGAAACAGAGGGAGAAGTGGGACAAGCCTGATTTAAAAATGAAACCCCAACTGCTGTATAGGGGTTTTGCACGAGTTTTTTCTTTTAAGATAATCTGTATTTCCAATTCTATGTTATGAACATTGGTGATTAGGAATATTGCTTTGTGTTGTCAAATAGAAAGCAGTAAAGCATTACAATGTGAGTATAAATTAGGATGGTCAGTGCATAATTTCAGCATGTGGAACTGTGCTCAGGTAAAATTCAAATCAAACTTCTTCGTTCTTGAATGCCTATCTGGCATATTGAATTTAGCCATGTTTGAAGACATAATTATTTTGACATTTCACAGTCAGCTAACGTAATGGTTTTTAAATGAATTACACATTCATTAATGCATGAAAATTTATATTTATTTTGCCATTCTGTATTGCAGCTGCTAAATTAATATAGCATACTTGAGATCACATTAGTAACAGAAAATTAATTTTTAATTTTTATATTTCATTTAGAGGAAACACAAGCATAACTAACATTTAAACTGCCACCCCACTGTCCTTATTGAACTGTTACTCCATCCTGTAGAATTGGAGGGCAGTGACAGATCCCATAAAGCTGGAGGGGTGGGGTGGAATTGACCAATATGGGCAAATAGCTCCTCCCCTCCCACCATATGAAGGGAAGAACAGTCAGATCTGTTATTATTTTTGTTGTTGAAAATGCTCTAGATTTTTGTCATGTCACAGAGTTGAGTTCCGTATTCGCCAGGAGGATAGTTGTCACTTTTTTCCTCCTGATCTAATGCTTTAAAAATACCAAGCACAATTGCAAGAGAGCTCATGCAGCAGAAGGAACCTCAGTGGGCAGCTGCTTTAATCTTCTAGTTTCCCTAAGTGATGAGTTGAGGCCAAGAGGGTGAGAGTGAGTTTCCCAGGGTTTTAGAGTGAAGAAATCAGAGCCCATTTTCAGTTGAAGAGACCCGAGAGGGTCCATGGGGTTGGAAGGAGGAACGGGAAGGAGTCCACAGAGTACTGACAGAGCTGGAAAGCCTGAGTGGGTCTGAAAGTGTCCTCAGAGCCATGCAGAGGGCCATAGCAGGTAGGAAGGGCTGGAGCCAGGGATCTGAAGAGGCAGTGAGAAGTGGAGAAAGGGTACCTGGGGAAGCTGGAGGAGCCAAGGCTCAAAACCAGCTCTTGTTAGTGTCAAGACAGTTGTCAACTGTCCTTGAGGGTGGTGCCTTTGAGGGCAGGCCTCAAGACATGTCAGCTGTGAGGCAGATGGAGATCAGATGGCCTGACAGCCCAGGACTATGTCCCATGATCATATCGTCTCTGACCTAACTTTGCAGGAATGCTGGGCAGGTCACTGTCTACTCCACGTTGTCATTTTACATTGAGGAAGCAAGGGGCTGACACAGCTCACAGCTTGCCTAATGCCACGTTATGTCAGCTTTTTCAGGGTGCATTCTCTGCTCTTTTAGGTTTGAACATCATAACTTATAAATACATTGTTGTGTCTTCCCCAAAGCAAAGGATACATTCATGCTTAAAGATAAGTGCTGTCATGTTTAACAACACTTCGCTACCTTCATTTCAAATTTTAATAAGAGATTACCTAAGAGACACATTTTACATTTTCTATAATAAAGATACTTGTCTTCAAAATTGGTAAAAGAAGATGAATGAGCAAAGAAAAACAAATAAGGCATCTAGGGGGATTGCACAACTTTGGGCATATCGTATCTACTCTGCATTTTATATGACTGAAAACTTTTATTAATTAATACATTTTATATTTTACAGTAGTTTTGCATTCACAGTAATTTTGAATGGAAGGTGCAGGGATTTCCCACATAATCCCTTGCCCACCATAGCCTCCCTTATGATCAATATTCCCCACAGAGTGGCACATTTGTTATAACTGATGAACCCACACTGACACAGCATCATTCTGAGTCCACAGTATGGGGTTCTTTATTGGTCTTGTGCATTCTATGGGTTATGACAAGCATGTAATGACATGTATTCACCGTTATAGTATCACACATAGGGTTTTACTGCCTGAAAAACCCTCTGTGCTCTGCCCATTCATCCCTCCCTCCCCTCTAGCCCCTGGCCACCACTGATCTTTTCACTGTTTCCACAGTTTTGTCTTTTCCAGCACATCATTAGTTAATATGTAGTTGAAATTATATAATATGTAGCCTTTGCAGATGGGCGTCGTTCACTTAGTAATATGCCAGAACTGTTTTTCTGAAGGACTTTTGAGAAACAATTTAAGAGTCAGGATAACATTTTTTTTCTAATTAAAAATATTTTATTTCTTATAAAAATGTATTTTATTTTCTGTCATGGAGAAGCATCTAGGAGGTATGAAGCCCTGTACTAGATGCACAATGGCAGGAAGGCAGTGATAAGCAAAGTCCCTCATGGCGGGTCTTGTGCAGATGGATTTATTGGGCAGTGGGCAACCACGTAGGGAGGTGAGCACACAGGCATCTGCGCAGCAGGGAGCGGAGGGACTCTGCTCAGCCTGGGAAAGGTGGGTGTGTGGAGGCGGAGCTCTAAAAGATAGGTAGGTTCAGGAAGAGAGAAGTGGTGCCTTGTATCTGATGGCCTTGAGACAGGAGGGATATAGGGCATGAATGCAGGGAGGTGGAGGCACCTGAGGCTGTGGAAAGAATTTGGAAGTAGCATATAGCCTTTGGGCAGATTTCTGTAATGGGGGATCTCCTTTGAGGAAGAGCCTGGTGGCCCAGAGCATAAGGCAGATTGGAAGGGTGAGGTGGTGGGACTGTTAAGAGCATAGCAGTTTCCTGGGTGTTATCTTTGGGTGCTGGACAGAGGCACGGATGCAGAGCCATTGGGGAGATCACGCTGAGCAGATGGGGAGGTTGGTTGGCTGTGAGGACCAGGGGGAGGAGAGTCATGACTGGCTTCCAGGAAGTGACTTGAGAGGCGTTGGGCATGGAGAAGACCACAAATAGACAGTGTGCTATTCATCCTTCAACCTGGGGCACTGTTCATAACCACCTAAGAACAATAGGTAGAAAGCAAGTCTGTCCTGGGCAAACTGTAGTGAATGGGTACCCCACCTATAGGGGATACAAGGAAAGGAGCCAGTTTGGGGAGGTAGAGGAAATTAATATCTACAAAATCAATTAGGCCGAGAAAAACAAAATCTTTATTTTATTAAATTTGGAACTCAAAAGGCACAGCTTTGCCCTCATCATCTGAATGTTCATCTTGATGATTTAAGAAATGTTTAGGAATTTGTATCATTTTGAATCTTTAAAATGTGATTTGTGAGAGTAGCTAGTTCAGGAGAGGACTGTCTACTAAGTACTTCTCTGTGTGTTTCCTCTGGCAGAAAACTCTTCCTGGACCAAGGACATTTTGTGTGCTACTCTGAGCTGCAAGCAAGGTGGGATAAGGCATCTCATTTTATCTGCTATGCAAGGAGTCACTTTGGCGCAGGGCCATTTCCAGGTTTGTGCCTTTTATATTTCAGAGAATTTCACATTCATCACTATTGGCCCTTACAAGGCAGTCAAGTTATTCAAAGCTTGTGGCTTGGTTCTTATAACTACAGCAACGGTGTCAGACACAGTCTTGTTGGAAGTTGGGGGTGCAGAATGACAGCTCACCCTTCCTCCCTCTTGGCCTCTCCCAGTGTTGTGCTGGGGTTGAGTGGCACTGTGTTGTGAGAGTTGATTGTTAAATTTTCAGGAATTTTGCAAGCTGGTTGTTAAAACATAGATATCATCATTATAAATAAATTATACCAACTTATGATGAAATAAATCATGTTAGAAACACAGCAATAATTACCCAAGATTCATGACTTCCTAATTATTTTAGTATTTTTACTGTTATCTGTCTTCCTGCGATGATTTGCTCCTGTTGTATCCACATGACAGAAATACTATGTAGTCTTGTGTTAAGTGCAGTTCTTCCCAGCTCTATGTTTAGTGATGTTATGGTGACAGCTTGAACTAGGCTATGTGGGACCATTCACACCATGGAAATTGGCAAGTGCTACAAATCAGATTTTTTTTTTTTCCGGAGTGTTAGTTTCTAAATATTTACCAGCTCAGTACTGGCTCTAACTAATCGAATACACTGGCTAGTACCAAAAATTGATGGCCGAGTGGGAACCAGCATAGCAGTTTTCTTTTTGTTAAGTTGGACACATGCCCAGTAGGCTCCCATGCAGGGTCTCCAACTACAGCTGAGTCAGAGAATGTGACTGTTATTTGGAGCCCACTCCCTTATCCTGGAATTAAAGACCCCTGGCCCATAGACAGGCCTGATCTCCCTGAGAAGCTTGGACAATGGTGATGTCTTTCAAATAAGGCAGCAAAGATCTGTGTTTCTTCTAGGTCTGGTTCTGAAGGTTGTTTCTTGCTTTTGTGATGCGTGTATCTGTGAGCGTGAGATTATCACAGAAAGCAGAGAAGTAGATGATGCCCGAGAGATGAGAGATAGTCATGCCAGACTCTCACAGCATGGCAAGGGTGTAGAATGCCATGCCTTGGGGAAGTGTCGGGAAGGAGTGAGAGCTGCTAATCCCTAATCAATGTCCCGTGGCCTTTGGAGGAGTGGTGCATGTCATATGAAAGCCCTGAGTGTTCCCTAGCGATGACTGACTTTACAGCCCCAGTGGTTGGTCATACTCACATGGATTTACTTAGAACATCAAATTCTTATTTCCAGGTTGTGCCGATCCTTTTCAGGTATTAAATGTGGATACAAGAAAAACCCTCACAGACAATAATTTTTCTTTTGAGGTGGAGTCTTGTATTGCTGCCCTGGCTGGAGTGCAGTGGCTCACTGCAACCTCCGCCTCCTGGGTGTAAGCAATTATCCTGCCTTGGCCTCCCGAGTAGCTGGGATTACAGGTGCCCACCACCATGCCCCGCTAATTTTTTCTATTTTTAGTAGAGACAGGGTTTCACTATATTGGCCAGGCTGGTCTCAAACTCCTGACCTCATGGTCTGACCGCCTCAGTCTCCCAAAGTGCTGGGATTACAGGTGTGAACAACTGTGCCCAGCCCCTCACAGAAAGTTTTTTAGTGTTGAGTGAAGGTTATGTTAATAAAATAGTCAAGAGACTCCAACTTTCAAAGCAATGGACTCAAAGACTGTATTTATAGTTCAAATTTCTATATGATTACCAACAAGTCTGGCTGGTAACAGTTGAGTTACTGTTGATAAAAAGCAGAAGTTCCTGTCTTTAATGACAAAAATAGTATGTTGCTTATCTCAGGATGCAGAGCTTTTAGGATGGGTCCGTGGTTCAAGTCTTCAAGTATGTGAGACTTCTAGAAATATAAATCTTTTTCAGGCTGTGGGATACGAAGTGCCCAACAGAGATGGGCAAAGAGCACAACGCCATTTGCTAGTTTTCAATATCTAAGTAAATATTTTAACGTACAGTTTTCTCAGTAGCAACATGGAATAACCATTGAAAGAGAACGTTTTAGTTGATTGAATTGACAAGACAAAAGTTCAGGGCTGTCAACTCCTTACTCTCTTCCACACTTTTTGTTCCAAACAGTAGAAAGTGGCAATAAGGAGATGAATGGGCAGCAGAAATTAAATTTCAAAAACAGCAGCAAGTGCCCACTGTATCTCCTGGGATACGCTGAGTCGGAGAATGCAGCTGGAATTTCAGGTTGGGTGGGGGCTTCCTACTGCCTCTCCAGATCTAGACCTTTGGGTCTACCTGTGTACACTTATCCACTGTTGATGGATTCCAGGCCTGATCTAGCCAGAAGAGTCCGATAGGTGCTGCCTTTTCCAAGGCCAAAGTACAGCCTGATAAATGTCAATCTCTACCTTTGTGCTAGATGTTTCTCCTTACCCTGAGCCTGGAACACCTGTGCTGAAGAAACTTGGAATTTTTCTTCTAGCGGTCCTTGCTACTGGGGTAGAATGCACTTTTCTACTCTATAATCCTTTCTATGTCAAAATTATTATTTTGTTAAATTTAAGCATAACATCCACAGCAGGAATATTATAAATGCATTGAATAAATATTAATTTGGATGCAGTTATAAATTATAAACAAGACGTTTTTTGCTATGAGGGAATACTCCATGGCAGAGCCCCCATGCAATGGGTTTGATTCGATCTATGTTCTCAGGAGTGAGCTGGCCCCTAAGTGAATACTCACTTATGTCTATTGTTCTGACCTAGTTGTATCTGTGCATTGGTATGCTACAAAAAGGGATCTCTTTGGAGGAAGGAGAATATCAAGCCTGTGAAATGCTTGGTGAAAGAACTGGGGAAGGTTAGAGCTTCATGCTCAGGAAAAAAAAAAAAGCAGAGTTTGAAAGTCCAAGGGCTTCTATGACTGTTATTAGAAATGTACATGTAGCTTGGAGTTTTGAGACTGGACCTAGGCATCTCTCTGCCTTGCAGATGCTCTGCCTGAGTTTGCTGCCCTCCTTTTCCTTTCTGCTTTGCTTTGCTGTGGTTACATTCAGACAATAAATGGGGTCTGTGCACATGAGGGACAGTGGGTGAGGGAAGGCTGGAGGAGGGCTCTGTCTCCGCAGATAGAGCAGGTAGTGGAAACTTAAGTGAAGAAAGGAAAGAAGTCTGTGCCCTTGAGTCCTGCCAGATGACAGAAAATGGAGAGACTGGCTTGAGCTGACCACTCTCTGAGACCCCTTTGGGTGTTACCACACAATACATGGGTTCCGTTGCTTGGCGGGTACCAACCCAATGACCACAACCAAGGAGGATTTAGTAATGGGATTTTATTACTTGTAACGAGTAAGGAGAACACCAGGGATGGTTCCCAAAGAAGTGCCTCCAAGCTGGGGACTGGGTGAGGCTTTATAAACATAGTGTAATGAGGATCTGATTGACTGGATCCTGCCGTGGGTGATGCCAGAGCTCAATCCAATTGGATCCTGCATCCTGCCATGCAGTGTCCTCTTCTTCATTCAGTCCCCACTCCCCAGTCTGAGCACTCGGCCTCCCTCTGTGGTTGCACACTGGTTCATTGGGGACCTGAGGGTCCATGGCAACTGAAAAACAACTCACAACTTTGTTATGTAAAAGTTGAACCAGATTGGCCTTGTGTGGCTAACACAGACAGCAGACACCTCTCCAACTGCCCAGCCCCTCAACCTCCATATGTGGAGTCTTACTCCTCACCTCTGGCGTCTGAGCCCGGCATTGAAACAGACTCATCCATGCCAATCCCCACGTCACTCAGCTCCTGCGACCTTCCCTGGGCTCCTCTTGCATCCTCGGCTGACTGTCTCCATCTCCACACCTGGCTCCTCTATGTGGCAGAAGGACCCAGGCTGTCTCCAGACCTTTTCTCTTCTCAGTCTATGCTCACGTGCTAGGAAATCATATCCAGATTCCTTTGCAACCTAAAAATCTTAATTACTTCCTGACAACTCCCAAATTTCCTTCTCCAGCCAACCACTCACCTGACCTTCATCCTCATGTGTTAAGTTGTGCCCCTGCTCAGATGTCATACAGGCCCCTCAGCTGTACTCATCTGAAAAAAAAAACCTCTTCATCTTTCCGTGTAATTTTTCCCTTCCCCGGTGTTCTTTCCCTCTGATGCCAGGGACAACAACCTTGGCATACTTGTTTAGTCCTTTTTATTTTTTTCTGTTAGAAAACTCTCCCTTCTACCTTCCAAATGTTTCCATGATCTGGCTATGTTCCACCACCTCCCCAGCACCTCCCAGATCCAAGCCAACTCTCCCTTCCTCCTCCCCTTGCCTCAATCCCCAACACAGTTGCCAGAGTGATCCTTCCAAAACATCAACAGATCATGTCATTCCGTTGCTGAGAGTGCCCAGTGTCTTCCAGTCTTATTTAGAATAAATGTCAGATTTCTAAGAGAGGCCACTGCTAGGTACTGCTGTCTGGGTGGCCCATCCCTTCACCTGCCCTTCCCAGCACTCTCTTCTCCACCTAACTGGCTCCTTTGTAACCACCTCAGGACCTTTGCACAATCTGCCCCCTCACCTGCAGTGTGCTTCCCTGATGATGCTAAGGAGGGTTGTACACCTCCCTCTTGTACCTCCAGCACTGCCCCCACCCCCACCTTATTTTCCTCCAGGTCATGTGACATTCGACCAGTTTGCCCCTACAGCTCTCTGTTGGTAGTGTTCCTGCACTGGGGTGGGAACCTCATGGAGGCAGAAGTTTTGTCTTCTGTGTTCACAAAACTCTCAGTCCGGTACCTAGCCTAGGGTTGGCATTTGGCTATTGCTCCATAAATATTTTTTGAATGAATGAATAAATAGTCCTATAGGATTTCTGTTCAAGTTCCACTCCCAAATCACTTGGGAGAAAACGAAACTTATAAAATGAATGACAGAGTTAAAAAGTTGCATGCTTTGTAATAATCTATTGGTTGGTTTAGTTCCCCCACACAGTGAGATGCTGGGGTTTGGTTGAGGTGGTGGTGACAGTGGCATGAGTGCTCTGATCATGGGTTAATGTCCATCAGTCCCTGAGAAGTCTTCACCCCCAAATAAATCTACCTCAGCTGTGCCGGGGGCCTCATCTTAGGGTAGTAGCCTGAGCTCAGCACCCAACCTTGACTTTTCAGCAGTCTTCACATTTAACTTTCCTTGGAACATATATTTGCTAGCTCCCTGTGGTCACTTGAATGATTCATGATTTTCCTTTGCAAGAGAAACTTGACAGTGGCTTTGAAAAAAATATTTAAAGTTTTATTTCAACAGAAATATTATCTAAGTGTTGACCTACATATAATACCTTCCCATAATTGGTATAACCTGGAACTATGCTTCTAATAGTGAGAATATGGTAATATAAATAAAATGTGATGAAGCAAATAAATTCTGATAATGTAAAATAAACTATTTATGGTAAAATAGCTGTGTCTAGGGAATGTATAGATTCATGGGTATTTTTATAGACATAGATTTTATATATGTGTCCTGTTTTTCAGGTTGTTTTAAATTTTAAATTACCTATATTTGTCATTTAATTCCACATATGGTAAGTGTTTTGCATTTTTTCAATTAATAGGTATGATTCTAAAAGGGTTTTTTTTTTTTTTGGCAAAATGATTGGTCTTTTAAAAAAACTGATTGTTTCTAGGAAGATACTGGTAAGATGTCCATGAAATCTTAGTGGGGGCTGTAGATGCAGAGAGTGGGGACCTACTTCTGAGGTCTTTCCAGGTGTTCCCCAGAGTCTTAGGAGCTTCTCCACCTGCAGTGGGGAGGATGGGAGACTTCCAGGCTGCACTGCTGACCTTCAGAGTAGGACAAATCCAGGTTTTATTCACTTCACATATGAATAACCACATACAATTTCTAATCATTGGGCTTGGGGCTGTGAATTCTGTAAAGCCTAAATTTTCTTTAATTTTTAATATTTTCATATTTATTTTTAATAGTATATATTTTAAGTGTACAACATGATGGTTTGATAAACATATACAAAGTGAAATGATTACTACAAACAAATTAACATATCTGTCCTCTCAGAGTTATCTTTGGGTGTTGTGTGTGTGTGTTAAAAGCACCTAAATTCTACTTTCTTAGCAGATTTCCAATATGTAATACAATATTGGCAACTATAATTCTCATGCTGTATGTTAATTCTCTAGATGTTTTCATTCTACCTAACTATAACTTCATACCCTTTGACCATCCTCTGCATTCCTCTCACGTTCATCCTGCGTAACCACCATTCGATGCTTTGTTTCTATGGGTTTGACTCTTAGAAAGTTTGACACTACATGTAAATGAGATCGTGCAGTAGTTTTCTTTCTATGGCTGACTTACTTCACTTAGCATACCTTCTGGGTTCATCTGTGCTGCTGCCAATGGCATAATTTCCTTTTATGGCTGAATAATATTTTATTGTATATAACATCACATTTTCTTTATTTGTTCATCTCTTTATAAATATTTAGGCTGATTCTGTATTTTGGCTGTTGTGAATAATGTAAATATCTCTTTGGGACATAATTTTATTTTCTTTGGATTTATACCCAGAAGTGGGATTTCTGGATCATATGGTAGCTCCATTTTTAAGTTTGAGGAATTTTCATACTGTTTTCCATAATGGCTGTACTGATTTACATTTGCACCAACAGGGCACAAGGGTTCCCTTCCCTGCACACCCCACCAACACTTGTTATTTCTTGTCTTTTTGATAATAACCATCATAACAGGTATGAGATAATATCTCATTGTGGTTGATTTGCATTTTCCTGGTGATTAGCGAAGTTGAGCACCTTTTCTTTTAACTGCTTGCCATTGTTATGTCTTCTTTGGATTAGTGTCTGTTCAGGTTTTTTGACCATTTTTTACATTGAGTTATTTGTTTTTCTCCATTGCGTTATGTGTCTTCTTAGAAAGAAATAGAGCTTCAGGAAGAAAGGAACCAGGCCATGGAGAATTGCATGTTCTCTGCTATATGTTGAAGAACACGCTGTCTTGCCTGGCTGGCTAACAGCAGAACCAGTAGTAAAATCTGGGCTTCTGTATTTCCACAGCCAAGGGCTCTTTCTACTACTCTGCAATGCTCATAAATGACTGACATAATTGCTTGTTCCTGGTGTTTCCTGAGACTAATGAGAATAAACTAAAATGTTACAATGCATGTAATAGAAACAAGTATGTGTGTTTTTCACCTCTATCATTGCTATGTTTTCTAGGAGATTGAAAAGATATGGTCCTCGCCCAATCAGCTAAGTTGTGAAAGTCTTAGCAAGAATCTTTCTAACACCTTGGAAAACTTCAAAAGCAGCTTGGAGAATGCCACTGAACAGGACTGTGCATGCCAGCTGAGGCTGGAGACCATAGAGCAGCGCTTGCACATGTACGCTCTAATATTCTTTCATGCCCTCTCCAGAACTTCCACTCATACAGAAGATGTCTAGCACTTTTAAAATGTGAACTTCAGACAGTAGTCTGCACAACATACTCTTAATGTACATATTAGTATGTGTTCTCCAAACATTAAAGTTTTCCATGACAGTTTTTGAGTGGTAAAATATAACAGCAGTATTAATCAGAAGGCTAACTTTATTGGCAATCGAGATATTAGATATAAAAATGTAACCCTCTACATTTGGTGGCAAATGCCTGTAATCCTATCTACTGGGAGGCTGAGGTGACAGAACAGCTTGAGGCTAGGAATTTGAGACCAACCTGGGTAACATAGCAAGACCCTGTTTCTAAAAAATAGAAGTAGCAAAAAACATTTAGTAGGATGTGGTACTGTGCATTTGTGGTCCCAAACACATAGGAAGCTGAGACAGGAGAATCGCTTGACCCCAGGAGTTCAAGGCTGCAGTGAGTGATGATTGTGCTACTGCACTCCAGTCCGGTTGACAGGTAAAGGGCCTGTCTCATAAATAAATAAATAAACAAACAAATAAGTAAAGTTCTGTATGAGCAGGCAAACATTTTTCAAATTACCTTCATGTTTGATTAATTTTGCTCAGTGTTCTAAAAGTGCAAAGCACCAGAAGGGGAAATGAGGAACTTTGAATTCTGCAAATGACTTTTTCACTGAAAGGATGATGTTCATCTTACCCCGGCTATCTTAATTTCTCATACATTCCATGATGTATCTTACCTATTCTTTTCACAGTTGTGAAAAGCCATTTATCAGGCATCATCATTCCCTTGGTTCATCTCGCTTGGCAGGAGCTCAGAGAAAGAAATACTGGAGTGTGGGCAGTATTAATGGATATTCACATACAGATGGTGTCGGGAGACACGTGTGTCTAATTGTTGGAGGAACTTTATGGAAATGTGATCTTGTTATCCAGCTCATCTCCTGGGAGCTGAAGCAGTGTTAATCATTCCAACATTGTTTCTGATGTTTTATCTTGCCTAATTTAGCTTTAATTTTCTGCCATTTTAGGTTGGCCAAAAGCCTGGAGGAAACTTGGTCATCAGGGAATCCCATCATGACTTTTCTAAGCAATTTCACAGTAACTGAGAGTAAGTATGTGGTTTTCCAAGTTTGCTCGATTAAAAATTAAATTTAGTTTCTTATGAAAATATATTATTAAGATAAAACATACAACAGAAAATTTATGCTATATGTGATACATAATCATTTAGAACTTGGCTGGTCTGATGTATCTGGCACTTATAAAGGAAGTCCTGAAATCCTAGGATACCATACTGAAGCAGGGGAACAAAGAGAAGCTTCTGTGGTCTGGATTTTGCTCTGATCTTGCCTCCGTGGACAAGCAGTTGATGTCTGTTTGTCTCTGTTTTTTGGCTGTTCAATCTATCAATTTATGAAGCTCCTTGTAGCATCAACATGCCATATCTGAAGAATTCTGGCAAATCCTTAAATGATTTCTCTCTTGTTAAAAAAGTGAGATGAATAGATGCATATCTAGAAGTGAGTTTCCTTTAACACTTGGTCACTATTCTCTTAGAAGAAGCTTTCTTTTCTTTTTCTTTTTTTTTTTGTTGAGATGGAGTCTTGCTCTGTCACTCAGGCTGGAGTGCAGTGGTGCGATCTTGGCCTCCTGTTCAAGCAATTCTCCTTCCTCAGCCTCCTGAGTAGCTGGGATTACAGGCATGTGCCACCACACCCAGCTGATTTTTTGTATTTTTAGTAGAGATGGGGTTTCACCACGTTGGTCAGGCTGGTCTTGAACTACTGACCTCATGATCTGCCTGCCTCGTCCTCCCAAAGTGCTGGGATTACAGGTGTGAGCCACTGCACCTGGCCAAAAGAAGCTCTTTCTAAATAAATATTCTTAAGGCTATGGGCCTTAGCGACAGTAGACCAGTAACCAGAAAATATTACGGAACCTGACATTTTGGTTTATTGTAGTATAAATTATTTAAGTTACTCCCGGGGGTGTAAGATGTGACTTTATTTAGTGATTTATGGGCTGAATGGAGTGAAAGAAACTATCTTAGCCAGGTTGTAATGTCAAATTTTGTTTTAGCAGTTAGTAATTATTTAAACACTTATTATAAAATTTTATTGTTTTCCTTACTTTGCAGATGTAAAAGTAAAAGATCTAATGAAGAACATCACCAGGCTGACTGCAGAGCTTCGCTCTTCCATCCCCATCTCGGAGGAGACTATTCACAGCATTCTAGAAGCAAACGTTTCGCACTCCAAGGTGCGGTGCTGTTCTTGTCTGTTTTGCTCATGCCAGGAGCCTTACTTAGCCTGAAGTTACTGGCATCGTGTTGTCCTTTCTTCCTCTTCCCTTCCTCTCCTTTGGCTAGTGAAGTGGGTTGCTGCACGAATGATACAGCTGGAGGCAGAAAGGAAACGAGAACAAGGAAGGAGGTGTCCTTGTCCCATGCCAAAATCTGAGGGTTTTAAATTCCATAATATTTTCTTTATTTGGGGTTAGAAGGAACAAAGTTGGCAATTATTTGTTCTGGTGATTTCCAGCCCTGATGTATGATACCTGGGGCGGGGCTGGGGGGGGGTCTCTGCTTGGTTCAGTAGGTGTTGCAAAATTCTCAAAATGCCCAAAACCAAGAACAGCTAAAAATATCTAAGAATCAACTATGACTTCCTCTGATTGGAGGGTGACTGGGCACAGTCTGACTGTATGCTACTGTAGTGATTTGCCTTGAAAGCAAATGAGTAATGGCAGGCTCTATCATCTCCAGGCTGAAAAATGTGATAAAACAATCAAAGAGTGATTGCAACACCCCAAGGACGTGTAACACATACTGGCCGCATGGAGTATCGTTTATCTCTGAAAAGGGGAACAGGGACGTTTCATGTTGTCCGCAGCAGATATCACCTGGATCCCTAGCAGGAGCTTTTCTAAGACAAGTTTCAGTACTTCTAGTTGGGGTTTCACCTTCCTGTACAGAGAACCTTCCAGAAGTAGTAACTGTGAAACTGACTCATAAGTGAATATTGCAATTGACCATCAACTGGGCCCCAACACAGGTTTAATTTCATGTCAATTCTGGTTAATTGGAGGCTTATTGCATACTTGATGGGTAGACTAATGAAGAATCAATAAATTAATCTAAATTAAAAAAGAGATTAGAAGCTGGGAACCCAAAATTCAAATAACAGTGTCACCAAGTTACTTATAATAAGGCACTTAGTATTTATCTTCAAGGAAAAATGTCAAATTCAGCTTAGTAAACATGCAAGAGCCAAAAAAAAAAAAAAAAAAGGCAGTGGGCAGTGCTGAAATTTTCTCTCCCCACCTTGCGTACTGCCTTATAGAGAACAGTGATTATTTTTGGCTTAAAATCCTTAGTTATTGAAATGTGGAAGAGGGGACAGAAGCAGCGGCTGGAGTAATTTGAGTAGCTACCTGGGAATGCTTTAAGACCAGGGTCAGATTAGCTAGCTTCTGGGGTCCCTTTCAAATTCAAAGTTGATTTCATTTTATTTATTTAAGTATTATACTTTAAGTTCTGGGGTACATGTGCAGAACGTGCAGGATTGTTACATAGGTATACACGTGCCATGGTTCTCAGTCAATTCCAAGTTTTATGATACATTTTGGGTTTGGGCTCATCTATTTTTGATGACCGCTGCCTGATGAAGCAAGTGGCCACTAGGTGTCACTGCTGTTCTATCATGGGAGGGCTGTGCGCAGAGAAGGCTCCTGTGATAATGTGATATTGTCTTGTGTAGATGATTCTGCTGCGGTTTTTTTTGTACTCTGAATCTTCCTCTACCTCTTTGTCAGTATGAATCATTATGATCGCCTATACAGCTGGGCAGTTAAGTAATTGGGAGGACTATTTAAAAAATCGCATTCTTGCATTTCAAATAAGTAGTGAGATTATTTGCTTTGATGGTTAAGTATATAAATGCACATGTATCTGCAGATCCTAGGTAAGGAGTTTATGTTAGGTTAGGTTTGCACTGATGGTCAGTGTTAAGAGACCAGCAAGTTCTATGATGCACATAGGAGGTGAAACTTTGGATACTTGTTTTTTTTCTAGATTGTCAGGTTTTCAGCAGCACCATATTATTTCTAGTATCCTTTTCCTATCTTTCTTCCTGGGCTTCTCTACCATAGCTTTAGTCAGTTTACAAATAATCACATCAGATTCTTGGTCCAGGCTGTTGGTGGCCTGCAGGGAATACTTTTCAGTGGTGCTAAAGCCCTGGCAGAATTGCAGAAATCTTAGTTCATTCATTTCTTCATTTATTCACTCAGGATGTTCTGATGTTTTAGGTACAGTCCCAACAATTTGGGTTCAAAGCCAGTGCTCCAAAGGAACCAGTGATCTATGGGGGATGACACAGTAAATTTGCAGACAAACGATGGTCCATGTTAAGAGACCCGAACATTCTGTGACGCACACAGAACACAGCAATGAGGACAGGTGGTCCCTGAAAGCCTCCCTGAATTGGTGAAGATGGATGTCAGACTGGAATGATGATGAGCTTATGAAGACCTATGTGAGAGTCACAGAGCTGGGGACATTCCTATCAAAAGACTAAAGACAGGAATGAGCACAAGGAGGCAAAGGCAGCAGATGCGTTGATACCATCTCATTTTTCTTTCCTGCCCTCTTCCCTGGCCGCAGAAAACCTGCTGTGAGCATCCCCCTATGGGAAGTTTCTTTTTCTTGCAGAGCTCTATTCTCTAATATCAGCATCACCCAATTAAAACCACAAATCACAGGGGCTTGCTGGACCCTGGAGCCTGTCCTAGCCCAGCCTTCTGTCCTGAGCTTGGATCCTGTCCACCTGCCCTGTGAAGCACCCATCCACTTCATGCTGTGTTCCTATGTTTTAGGCACATGTTCAAATCAACAATGACTTCTTTCCTTGTGTTGGGCCAAATTATTATTCTTCTAAAAGTAACAATGAGATCAAAGTATCAGGACTCAAATAGATTGAAAAAGCAATCAAAAAGTCTGTCTTCAGACCCTTTATTTTCTGTGCTAAACAATTGGGCAGTGTTCAGAGGACCTTTATCTTTTGCTTGGAAGATGACTATTTTTTCACAGTTCTCAGTGGATTTATTCTCCCTGCTCCACAAACCAAGGAGGAAGGGAGACGGCATGCCCAGAAAGTTCTGATCTCTTCTGGGAGGCTCCTTCAGATGGGAAGGTATTCTGAATTTTTTCCCCTGTTTCTTTTGAGCAGAAATGATTGAGTTTGGTGAATCTAGTCAAATTTTCTTATCTCACTTGGGGCAGGTCCTGTGGCCTGGTTCTGTCTGTTGCTTCATTGGCAGAGCTGCCAGGCATAATTTGTGGAGAGGGAGAGTTTTCTCTCAGTAGTTTGGAAACATTACACATTCCATTTGTTTTAGTACATGAAGTTTGTTTCCTGAAAAGCTCCAACAGATAGTTCTTGGTGAAACTTATTTCGGAGCAGATACTGGTCAAAATCTGCTCATTGTGTTTGTTTGTTTGTTTCTTTCTTTCTCTGAAGACAAAAAGTAATTGATGTGTGACTAGAGTTATGGGTTTCTGGGATCATGAGGAGCAGTCTGGCCCGAAGTTTCCTGGAAGACACTATCTGTCGTGTGCTGTGTCTCATTCTAGCAAGAGCCCTTCCTAGGCCTTAGGCTGCTCATCTGGCTCTGTCACCACATCATGAGGTTGGGGCTTTTATGGTCCTTGTAATCCATGGTGCCTGGAATAAAGTGCACACACCCATCTACCGCCATCTCATTCTCTGGTGCTCTTAGAGTAGGACTTTTCTCTTCTTTGATTTGTTTTTCTACTAGAGTATTCTCAGTAAATGTGGTAGGTTCCCATTAAACATGCACCAGAATGAAGTGAAATTCCAGCTGCTCTCCTTCCATTAAGTCAAACTAGCCTTCCTTAGGCTTATGAAAGCCACATTACCTTATTTGCTCATTAGGAATCCTGAGAAATGAATATTGTGCTAAGGGCATTTGTGTCTCGTTTAACCATTCCCTCCCTGGGCATTTCTCTTCTTTCACAGATGAATGTGGTGCTGTGAAAGTCACGGCTGGGCGAGGGCCTGAAATCAAACCCAGGTCTTTGAACTCAAACTGTTATTATTCCACACATGACGTCATTGCTTCAATTTATTATCAATTAATAGTTCTAAGGAAATTACTGCTTGCAGATGGGTTTCCTCTTCTCCTACTTGCACTTACACAAATATTTTTAAACCTTTATTCCCCAATTGGCATAGATCTCTGTAAAAAATACTTCTTGCTAGTTTTGGCTATATGTATATTTTAATTTTCAGCTTAGGAGTGCATGTGCAGGTTTGTTACATAGGTAAACTCATGTTAGGGGGTAGTTTGTAGTACAAATGATTTCATCACGAGGTACTAAGCCTAGTATCCAATAGTTATTTTTTCTGATCCTCTCCCTCCTCGCACTGTCCACCCTCAAGTAGGCCCCAGTGTGCTTTGTTCCCCTCTTTGTATCCATGTGTTCTCATGATTTAGCTCCATCTTATGAGTGAGAACATGTGGTGTTTGGTTTCTGTTCCTGCATTAGTTTGCTGAGAGTAACGGCCTCCAGCTCCAACCGTGTCCCTCCCAAGGACATGATCTTGTTCTTTTTATGGCTGCATAGTATTCCATGGTGTACATGTACCACATTTTCTTTATCCAGTCTGCCCTTAATGGGCATTTAGGTTGATTTTGTGTCTTTGCCATTGTGAACAGTGCTGCAATAAACACACATGTGTATAGGATCTTTATGGTAGAATGATTTATACTCCTTTGGGTATACACCTTGTTATGGGATTGGTGGGGCATACGGTAGTTCTCTTTTTAGTTCTTTAAGGATTTGCCACACTGTTGGTTTCCACAGTGGTTGAACTAATTTACATTCTCAGTAGGAATGTGTAAATATTCCCTTTTCTCTGCAGCCTCGCCAGAATTTGTTGCTTCTTTGACTTTTTGATAATAGTCATTCTAATTGGCGTGAGATGGCATCTCACTGTGGTTTAGATTTCATGTCTCTAATGATCAGTAGAATTGAGACTTTTTTCATGTGCTTGTTGGCTGGTTGTATGTTTTCCTTTGAAAAGTGTCTGTTAATGTCCTTTGCCCACTTTTTAATGGGGTTGTTTGTTTTTTTCTTGTAATTTTTAAAAAAGTTACTTATGGATACTTTTGTCAGATGCGTAGTTTGCAAAATCTCCCATTGTGTAGGTTGTTTATTGATAGTTTCTTTTGCTGTG